TTTTTTTTTCTTTTTTTCTTTCTTTCTTTCTCTCCTCTCTCTCTCTCTCTCTCTCTCTCTCTCTCTCTCTCTCTCTCTCTCTTTCGAGACAGGGTCTCACTATGTAGCCTTGGGTGACCTGGGTGAACTTCATATGTAGACCAAGCTGGCCTTGAACTCATGGAGAGTTGCCTGCCTCTGCCTCCCGAGTGCTAGGATTAAAGGTGTGTGCCACTACATCTGGCTATATTTGTACTTTTTAAAAAATGTAGTCATCAGGGCTGGAGAGATGGCTCAGGGTTAAGAATACTGTTCTTGCAGAAGACCTGGATTCGAATCCCAGCACCCCATGGCAGCCAACAACTGTCCATAACTCCAGTTCCACGGGATCTGACAGCCTCTTCTGTCCTCTGGGGGTATTGCACAACACATGTGCACTTACATGCAGGCATAACAGTCATACACATAAAATAAATATAAATATTTAAAAAATATAGTGATCAAGGCTGGACGTGATGGCACATGCCTTTGATTCCGGCACTCAGGAGGCAGAGGCAGGCGGATCTTGATGAGTTCAAGGCCAGCCTGGTCTACATAGTAAGTTCCAGGCTAGCTGGGGCTACAGGGAGACTCTGTCTCAAAAAGACGAAAAAAATAAAAAAGTGATCAAAGAAGAACACTTTTCTCTTTAGCCTCATACAATTCAGGGGAGAAATTAGAATTGAGTCATAAATAGAATTGACTCATAAATAGAAACATTTTGAATCCGGGGGCGGTGGGGTATAAAATTTGCACAAAGAAAGTAATTGTGGAGGCAAATGCAGCTAGGCAGCTGGTGTGATGCTGTCTCCTGAAGAGCTTACTTTCCTCATTCTCCTTCTCCAACCTTCCCCAGTGCTATAGACATCTCTGGGCTGAGACTGGCAGTTGTCCCTTACCATGTCCAGTTTGGATTTTTGTTTGTCTCTTACCACATCCAGTTCAGTTTTCTCCAGTACATCTACCAGCACCTCAATCTTGGTCTTGTTGTTGAAGAGAAAGTCATCATCCACCCAGAGGACATATTTAGTGGTGACCTGGGAGATGGCCAGGTTCCTACCGGCAAACCAGCCCTGGGGGGTGGGGCGGGGCATGAGATTGGATCAGCAGTTGCCACCTGAGGCGCTTTCGGAATTCCCAGTGGCCAGGCTGCCCCCAGATAGACTAAGTCAGAATCTGTGGGGTTGAACACAGTGTTCAGACAAGGCGGACAACCAGTGGGTCAAGCAGAGTCCATGCCTCAGAGAAACATGGAAGGGACAGTGACTTTCTGGATCGAAGACTGAGACAAAGGAGAAAGCCTCTCCTTGATCCTGTGCATCTGTGAATGGACTGAAGTGCTTTTTCACTTCACAGTTTCCTTCTGCCTCCTGGGAGACGTTGGTTTGAGGGACATCTGATATTAACAGTATCCCTTTCCTCTTCTGTCCTTGCAGAGGATGGGAGGGAGGGGGAGGGAGGGAAAAGTGGGGAGATGAAGAAAGGGGAGAGGGAGGGAGACCCTAGCTTGGGTGCAACTGCATACAGAAGAGATTGTTCTACTGTCCCTATCATGTCAGACACCTTAAGTCACTTACAAGGACCAGTATCAACCTTCACACCAATTTTGAAAGAAAATGCAGTAAAACCACCCGTTAATGTGAAAAAGTAAGGTTGACTCAACTTCTCTCTGAATCTAAACAGGAGAGTCCCCTCCCCACCTTCCACTATAGGACTCTGCTTCCTTGGAAGACCACAGAAGTGACCTGGCCCCCCACCAGTCTGAGAGGAGCATACCTTCCCAAAGGGCATGGTGTAATACTCCACGTAGTCATCTTCAATTTTCAGGGGCTTCTCGCTATCATCAGCTACAACCACAGTTAAGTCTGGATAATATTCTCGAATGCTCTGGAGCAGGGTCTTAAGCTTGTGGGGTCGGAGGAAAGTCTTGGTAGCAATGGTCACCAAGTTTCTGAGCTTCCTCTCTAGACAAAAAAAGAAAATGTGGATGCCAGAAACCTCACTCTCCATTTACTTTGTTCATTGCGTTTTGCTTTGTGCCAGGCTGAAGATTCAACTCAGGGCCTTGTGCATGCTTGGCAAGTGCTCTACCAACTGAACTACACTACCAGCATCTGATGGCCTCTTTATCCCATGACCTGTCAGTGTTGTGGGCCTCATGCTTCCTGGGTACAGGAGATGCTTAATAAGAGTCTGTCAGTTTCATTGTAAAATAAAGACACCTATACGGTTACCCATTTTGGTGAAATTTCTACCTTTTCGCCTTCCCTGACTCTGTTGGCTTCATTGTGCCATTTTCCCACTGTCTGGATGTTTCATTTTCTTCTAGTGCCTCACCTGGGTCCTGCTTCCATCTTAATACTAGATGCCCAGAGCTTTGCCATTCAAGGGGTTCCATGTAGAGGCCTTCAGAGCCCAGGAAGAGGAGAAAAGTTCTAACGGACTTGATATTTGCCCCACCATCAGCTCCAAGAAGAAGCCTCCCTAGACTCTACTTCTAGAAGCCTCTCTGGTCTCTATCCTCTTCTAGAAGCTTCTCTTGTCTCTGCTACTCTTCAATACCGTAGGGGAGATTTAGCCAAATGCAACATGACAAGAAAAAGAAACATATGATAAAAATTGGAAAGGAAGAGGTAAACCTCATCATCATTTGTCTAAGGGATGCTCTATGCTTAAAAGCCGCTGAAAAGTGAGCTGAGATTCATATTCCCTTCCACTCTTTTCTTTCCTTCCTGTGTGGCATGAGGTGAACAGTTCTCCAGTGCATGCTTCCACAACCATGAACCCTTCTGGGATTGTCAACTTGATGGGATTTGGGATCACCTAGAAGACACACCTCTGGAGGCATATCTATGAGGACATGTCCAGACAAGTTTAACTGAGTGGGAAGACCCACCTGAATGTGAGGGGCACTGTTCTGTAGACTGATGTCCTAGAATAAATAAAAAGGAGAAAGAAAGGGGAGCCCCAGCATTTATCTTTTCTGCTTCCTGACTGTGGATGCAGTATGAACAGCTGCCTCATACTCCTATTGGCATACCTTCCTGCCATAGTGGACTGTACCTTCAAAGTATCAACCAAAATAAACCCTTTCTCCCATAAGCTGCGTCTGTGTTTTTAAAAAGGATTTATTTGTTTTATTATCTTTTAAATTTATGTGTATATGTATATGTGTGTGTTTGTGTATGTGACTATATGTGCCCCTGGAGGCCAGAGGCATCAGATCTCCCTGGAACAGGAGTCATAGGCCTTGTGAGCCACCTGATATGGGTGCTAGGAACTGAACTTGGGCCCTTTGGGTGAGCAGTATCTGCTCTTAACCACTGAGCCATCTCTGCAGTCTCCGCTTTTGAATTCTGTCACAGCAATGAGAAAAGTAACTAATACACCTTTAAAACCATGAGCCAAAACAAATCTTTCCCCCATTTAAAAAAAAAAAAAAAAGGCCTCTAATCCCATTGGGAGGCAGAGACAGGAGGATCATGAGTTCAAGGCTAGTCTAAGTATAGCAAGACCCAAACTACAAAACAAAAGGTACAACGACTAAAAAGTATCCAAAGAGCGTGCTTATAAATTCAACATTCAAAAAAAAAAAAAAAATCACTAAGGGCGGGTGTGTTGGCGCACGCCTTTAATCCCAGCACTTGGGAGGCAGAGGCAGGCGGATCTTTGTGAGTTCGGGTTCAAGGCCAGCCTGGTCTACATAGTGAATTCTAGGACAGCTGGGGCTACGAAGAGACCCTGTCTCAAAAAGACAAAAAAAAAAAAAAATCACTAAGAAGCCAGGTAGAAGGTAGATCTCTGTGAGTTCAAAGCCAGATGGGGCTACCAGGAGACCCTGCCCTCCCCCACAAAAAAACCAACAACGACAAAAACAAATACAAAGCAAAGATCACTAGGGGCTAGGGAGATGGTTAGGTAGCTAAAACACTTGTACAAACATGAGGACCTGAGTTTGAATCCTTAGAACCCACAGAAAGCTGGGCTCAGCAACTGCATCTCTAGTCCCAATGCTCCTACAATGAAATGGTATGTAGAGATTAGAAGCTTTAGGGCCAGATAGCCTGGTGCATACAACAGCAAACAAAAAAAGAACCCTGCCTCAAACAAGGTGCAAGGTAAGGATCAACACCAAGGTTGTCCTCTGCCCTTCACATGCACTGTGGCATGCACACACATACATCATATACACACATACAAAATCATTAGTCACTTGTAATCCCACCACTAACAAGGTTGAGGCAGAAGGATTACCAGGTCAACCTGGCTTATATACCTAATAGCCAATTAAAATGTAGAAGAAAGGGTTGTGAATGAAGGCCAGTTAGTAGAACGTTTGCCCAAAGTTCAATCCTAGCACCATGTAAAGTGGGCATGGGAGTGTGTACCTAAAATCCAGCACTTGGGAGATTGAAACAGGAAGTTCAGAAGTTCAAGGATATCCTCAACTACATACAGAGTTTGAACCCAGCCTGGGCTACGTGAGACCTTATCTCAAGAAGAAGAAGGCAGAAGAGGAGGAGGAAGAAGAGGAGGGGAAGGAGGAGGAAGAAAAAGAAAGGAAAAAAGGAGCCTCAACGGGGCATGATGGGCACACCTTTAATCACAGCACTCGGGAGGCAGAGGCAGGCGGATCTCTGGGGGGTTAAGGCCAGCCTGGTCTATGTAGTGAGCTCCAGATCAGCTGGGGCTACAGGGAGACAAAAAAAAAAAAAAAAAAAGCCTCTCTGAATTTGACCCAGTCAGAAACAAACCTTGAAACCCAAGGACAAGAGCCTTACCAAGTCCAGGGTCATATAACTTGGGTATGACAGGCTGGTGGATGGTCACTGGAAACTTGGCCACTGAGGACTTGGACTCCAAACTCACTGAAAGGAGAAGAAAGGTCAGTGCCCAGGTATCATCAGATCTAATCAGACTCTACGCTGCCCCAAGGAAACTGATGGGTGAGGCCTTTGGGAGAACCCTGGCTGGTAAGAGACTAAGGGAGGACCCACGTAGCCTGTGGCATTCAAGATGACTTGCTGTGCATCCCTGGGGCAACCTCTTCTAAGAATGTGCTGCTGAGGTGGGCTGGGGACTCAAGGATCTGGATTAAGTTTGACTCTGCCATGTCTTATCTGAAACAAGACAATTCATCAGCTTCTCCAATTACAAGATCAGGATATTCCGAGTAGAGAAACTTCTCTAGTAATGAACTATAGAAATGACCCCTGAAGTACATCCTTACAAAACCAGGGTTATAACACCTACTGCAACGTACCTCACAGGGTCATTTTCTGAAGGGAAATGCTTTAAAATATGAATGTGACAGAGTGAACCCTTTATGGAGGATAATCTTGGATTTCTGATCTTCCTCCCCCCTCAACATCCTGAATGTTGGGGGTTTTGGCATGTACCACCATGCCTGCTTTTGTGTGGTTCTGGAGATTGACCCCAGGGCTCTGTGCATGCTAGGTAAGCACTCTACCAAATGAGCTAACCTGATAGTCCTCTGTTAATATTGCATTTTTTTTTCTATTGATGTGCTGTGTAGCTAGTCAAAAGAGAAAAGTGTACTTTTAATGCATGCAGACAGAAATGGTGGCTGTCCTGAGGGCAGCAAGATTTGTTCTCCCAGTAGCAGAGTGTGGAGGAAAACAAGGTCACGTGCTTGGAACTGGACACATTCCTTCTTCCTCTTAATGTCAGGACGAAATATTGATGCACAGACTGGTTCTCTTCTCTACTGCAGCTGAGGATATCAGTTTTAAAACTTGTAGAGAAGGGGGCTGGAAAGATGGATCAACAGTTAAGAGTACTGGCTGCTCTTGCAGAGGATCCAGGTTCGATTTCCAGCACCCATATAGCGGTTAACAACCATCTGTAGCTCCAGTTCCAGGGGAGTCTGAACGCCTTTTCTGACCTCCATGGACATTTCACGAAATGGGTGAACTCGCATACATGTAGGCAATACACTCACTCATACACACAAAATAACAAAATACTTAAAAAAATTTTTAATTGCAGAGAAGAGCTAACAGAATTGGATGAGGCTAGCTAGACAGGACAGTATGTGCCTGTAATCCTAGCATTCAGGAGGCTGATGCACAGGGATTGAAAATTTGAGGCCGGCCTATGCTGTATAACAAGATCCTGCCTCAACAAACGAATAAAGAACAACAAAAAAATGAGCTGAATGTGGTGGCACATACCTGTTCTTACAGAACTTGGGAGTTGGAGAGAGAAGAATCTGGAGCTCAAGGCCAGCCAGCTTCAGCTACTTAAAAGAGTTTGAAACCATCTTGGGCTACATGAGACCTTGTCTCAAGAAACAACAGAACTAAGGATATATCTCAGTTGGTAGAGGGATATATCTCAGTTGCTTGCCTACCATGTATGAAGTCCTGGGTTTGATCTCCAGCACTGCATAAACCTTACGTGGTGGCACATGCCTGTAATCCCAGCATATGGGAGGTGGAAGCAAGAGGATCACAAATTCAGAGTTCAAGGCTAGCCTGGGCTACATGATACCCTATCTCAAACAAAAGAAAACACCATCAACAACAGAAATAATTGGATGGTGCTATAGTTTGGATGTGTCCTCAAAGATCCACGGGGTATAGGTATAGGCCAGCATGGACACTGGGAGGCGGTAGAGCCTTTAGAAGCTGGGACCCATTGGGAAGTGTTCAGGTGGCTATGGGCATGGCCTTAAAAGCGATAGCAAGACCTTCTTCCTCTTCTGTCCCATTTTGCTTCCTGTTATGAGGTAAATTCTGTCCCACCCACCATACATTCTCCACCATGCTGAGCTGCCTCATCACAGGCAAAGGGACCAACCGACCATAGACTAAAACCATTGAACTGGGAGCCAGAAGAACTACCTTTCCTTTTCTACTACCTCAGGTATTCGTTAGGGTGAGGGGGTGTTGACTGACAGGTGGTTTTCTAGGTGAGTGTCCATTATGTGTCTGGCAACGTGGATTATCTTTCTCATGCTACTCTGTGGGGTTGTGGCAACAGGGATAATAATGGATATGGTAAATAGGAAGGTAGGCCTCAAGAGTCAGAAGTTGGTACACAGGAGGAATCTTTAAAGCACACTGGCTTTCTGGAGATTTTGAGAGGGCTCAGTGTTTTGTTTTGTCTTTTTTTTTTTTCCCAGCTCTCTAAGCATTGTGCAGCCCAAACAAAGGTTCTCACCCATGTCCACCTTGTGGCGCAGGTACACCGTGCTGGTGTAGGTTACATGCTGGAGGATGAACCTCAAAAGCTTCCGATTACTGGTTGAAATGGTCAGCTGCTTCTGGCCTCTGCCCTGTACCACATTGTCTGGGATGTCAGCCAGGGTGTTCAGTGTCCCCAGAGAAGCTCTCAGAGTGATCTAGAGTGGTATTGAGTATACTCACATTATTGTACAACTATCAGCCACCACCATCTGTCTCTAGAAGTCCTTTATCATACCCAGATGAAACCTTATACCCATTTGATAATAACTCTCTCTTTCTCCCATGCCTGAAACTGGAAAGATGCTAAATGCCAAGATTAGAGAAAATCCATTTGTAGGAAAGACATGTACCCAGAATGGCCAGCAGGGGGTAGAGCACCCAGGGCTGAGCAAAGCATAAGGATGCTGGGACAGAATAGGACACCACTCTTCAACCCCGAGACCTAAAGCCCCCATTACTGCAAGCATTCCTATATTTTGGTTTTATGGGGTATAATTCTTCTAATTTCTTCTGAATTATTTCCTTTTCTCCTTCCTCCCTCCTCATCTTCCTCTTCTTTTGAGGTCTCACTATATTGCCCCGGCTGGTTTTGATTTCCTGGGTTCAGGAGATCGTCCTGTCTCCCCCTAGTAGCTGGGACTACATGTGCATGCCACTTTGCCTGGCTGTCCTGCTGCTGGTTTTAATTTGTGTTTGCCAATCAATCCTCCTCCTCCATTTGACTTCCAACAGGAATTTTCAAGGGCTTGGTTCTGGGTCCTTTTCTCTCTTCCTATGGCATAACTCCTTCCTTGAGGATTTCATCCATCCTCATAGCCTCAAACATCTCTTTTCTAAGGGTTTCAAAAGTGTATCTCTGGCTCATCCCTTTTTGAGATCCAGCTACCTCGACTGCTCTCCCTACTAAGAAGGCTCACAAGCAACTCAAACTTAGTATCTTCAAAACCAAACTACTGGGCTGACGAGATGGCTTAGCTGTGCAATCATGAGGGCCAGAGTGCAGGTCCCAGCACCCACATAATTAGCCTGGTGATCTGCAAAAGCTTGTAACTCCAGCTCTGAGGGATTCTGATCTCTATGCATGCCCACAGGCACACACACCCATACCCACATTCACATCCACACACAAAGATGGAAGGAAGGGAAGGAGGAGAGGAGAGGAGAGGGGAAGGGAGGGGAGGGGGGAGGGGAGGGGTAAGGAAGCAAAGTATCCAGATGTAGTAGCCTGGGTTCAATCCTTAGTACCATGGGGGGCAGGGGGGAAACATGCTAATCATTTAGTTGCCAATAGAAACCACAGTTATCAGCTTGTAATCCACCTTCATCCCAGTCCTTTCCTGACTTCCTACCATCCCACTCAGGCTCCCTAAAGGGAAGCCATTATTTTTCTGTTCCTTTCCTGTGGCCTCCAGCCCCTGGAAACAAGGCCTGTCAGTTCTACCTGACGATGCGGCTAGAAGTGGACTTCTCTCCATCCCCATCACCCTTAAGGTTACTCTTTGCTCTGGTCTTCTGCAGTTGCTGGGTATCTTTGTGAGAGGTTTCCTAGGCTATACCAATGCTGCTGAAAACTCAGATCGATCAACAGGTACTCTCTGAGAACCAAGATGAGCAGCTAGTGGGGAAGAAAAGCAGCAAGCATGCAGCCACATCCACAGGGTAACTGAGGATAGATAAGTAGTTAACAGAGTCCTTGTCCAGCATGCATGAGGTCCTGGACTCCGTCCCCAGCACCTTCATAAATAAATGAATGACAGGAACAAGAAAGTGACAGGGACAGGATGGTAGGGAGCTTTGCTCAGGGGACAGAGGAAGCCTCTAGAGGATACAAAGCAGCTCACCTCCTGCCCCCAACTCTCCCTCTATCCAGTCTGCAGGATGGGAAATGCAAATCTCATTCTGAGCTGGGGAGAAGACACCAAGGGTAAGACCACTTGCTGCATAGGTATGAGGACTGAGCTTGGATTGCCAGCATCCATGTAAAAAGTCAGGCAACCTCAGTACTGGGGGAGATGGAGAAGGAGACAGGGGGATCGCTGGGGCTTGCTGGTCGACAGCCTAGCCGAAAAAATAAACCAATGGGATCCAGGTTCCTGTTCAAAACTCCTGTGCAACATCCCCACACCCCATCTTGGCATTTCACGTGGATAAGGGATAGGGCTGGTCAAAGACTTAGAGCAGCCAGTCAGGAAGGTAAGGATAGGGTGCCCAGCACTGAGAGGCCTGGGAAGGGGACACTTACCTCATAGACTGGGGCATCTGGCCCTTCATATTGGAGGCCTAGAGAACACAGAGAGGACAAAACATATTGTCTAGGAGGATGCCAAGACTCCCCAGTGCTCCCCCTATTTCTGACTCCTCTATGTCTGTGAGGTTCCCTCCAAGTGTCACCTCCTATGAAAGGGTTGGCTGATATACTCCCAATCCTGGGACTGTCAGATGGTTCCATGGCCTCAAATCCATGTGCTTCTAATGCCTCAACTGCCCTTCCTCAGCTTTGGGTTCTGTGAACTCACACAGTCCCTTCCAGATGCCCCTGCTACTGAGGGGAAGGCAGCAATGTGGATGAATGATCCTTGGATGCAGTACCTGGGGTAGTCAACACTCAAGGTTGGGAAGCAGAATGGTGCTGGCCAGAAGTGGGGAAAGGGGGGTGTGATGGCTAGTGTTGTCAGCCTGATAGAATCTAGAATCAACTGGGAGATGGGCATCTATGGGGGGATTATCCTGATTAGTGAGAGGCGCCACACACAGTGGCATTCCCCAGGCAGTGGATTTCAGACTGCACAGGACTGGAGAAAGTGGGCTAAGCACTACCATGCATACATTCCTTGCTCTCTTCTGACTGCAGACGTAATGTAAGCAGTTACTTCAGGCTCCTGGTACCGTGGCTTCCCTGCCATGATGAACTGCTTTTGTCAGACTATGATATCACGGTAACAGGAAAAGACACTAAGACAGGAATTACTGGTAAATGGGTATAAAGTTCCAGTGGGGGAGGTGTACAGTGGGGATGGAGAGATGGCTCAGTGGTTAAGGGCACTGGCTGCTCTTGCAGAGGACCCAAGTTCAATTCCCAGCACCCACATGGAGGCTAACAACCCTCTGTAACTCTGGTTCCATGGGATCTGGTGTACAACACAAGTGCACTTATATACATGCAGGCAATACACTCATACACATAAAAAATAAATACATTTTAAAACTATTTTATTTACTATTTTTATTTTATGTTGTATGTGTGTATTGCCTGCATGTAGGTAAGTGCACCCATGTCGTGTGACGAATACCCACAGTGGTCAGAAGAAGCTGTTGGATCCCCTGGAACTGAAATTACAGACAGTTGTTAGCTGCCATGTGGGTGCTAGGATTCGAACCCAGGTCTTCTGCAAGAACAGTGTTCTTAACCGCTGAGCCATCTCTCCAGCCCTAAATAAAATATTTTTAAAAAGAAAGTCCCAGGTTCCATCCCTAGCACGACATTAACCTGAGTGTGGTGGCACATGCCTATAGACACAGTACTTAGATAGTAGAGGGAGGAGGATCATGAGTACAAGGTCATTGGCTACATAGTCACATGTTGAGTTGGAGGCCAGCCTGGGCTACAGGAGACCCTGCCTCAAAAACAAACAACACATGCAACTGGTGAAAGTGACTGTTGAATGCTCAGCCCTAAAGGGGAAATCTCATCACCCCTTAAGGCTCGGGGAACATCACAAAGGACTGGGTGGAAAGAACCTAAGAGGTGGAGGATGGGGACAGTGCTGCAGAAAGCTGTCAGACACGGCCGTTGCACTCCTGAACTCACAGCAGCTGCGATTACCCGTACAAGATTGGGTCCACCAACTGTCTATCAAGGATGGAGGCGGGGTTAAGGAGGCCCCACCTGTCCGGAAGCGCTACTGACAATTGGGGGGGGGTGGTGGAGACATTTTCTTTTTTCTTTTTACAAAAAATTTAAAGAAGTTTTTATTTTTTTATGAGTATTATGAATATTACAAAAAATTAATTGAAAAAGAAACCCTTTTTCACAATCTGATTTAAACCTACTTTCCAGTTTATAGTGCCACTAATCATTTTTCACTATATTCTGATTTACTACATAAAGTCTTTTATTCCATAATCTTGTTCTTTCTAAATTAGTCTTTCATACATTGTTTTTTAATATTTTATTTGTTATTTTTATTTTATGTGTATGAATTTATTACCTGCATGCAAGTGCACCCGTGTGGTGCAATGCCTGCAGACGTCAGAAGAGGATGTCAGATCCCCGGGAACTGGAGTTAAGGACGGTTGTTAGCCGCCATGTTTGTGCTGGGATTCGAACCTGGGTCCTCTACCAGAGCAGCCAGTGCTCTTAATCAATGAGCCATCTCTCCAGCCCCTCTCTACATTATTTTTTGAGACCGAGAACTCCCTGTTTTGGCTAGACTGAGTGGTCAGCAAACCCCTGGGATCTGGTCTCTGACCCCTAGTGCTACAGGTACAGGTGTGTACTGCCAGGTCCAGCTCTTTGTTTTTATTTTTGTTTTTGTTTTTGAGACAGGGTCTCCCTGTAGCCCCAGCTGTCCTGGAACTCACTATGCAGACCAGGCTGGCCTTGAACTCACAGAGATCTGCCTGCCTCTGCTTCCCAAATGCTGGGACTAGAGGTGTGTACCACCAAGCCTGGTCTGGAATTTTATAAATATTTTTTTAGCCCTCCTTGGCTGTGGTTTGAAAGTGAAATGTCCCCTACAGGCTCACATGTTTGAACACTTGGTCACAGTTGGTAGTGCTGTTTGGGAAGGTTATGGAACCTTTAGGAAATGGAGCATCACTAGAGGAAGTGGATTACTGGGGCTGGACCTTGAGGCTGTATACTTCCCCGTATACTTCCTGTTTGCTCCCTGCTTTTGGATTTCAAAGTGACCAGTCAGTTTTCTGCTCCTGCCCCTATGCCCTCTTGGCCATGATGGAATGTTTAGTGGGAGGAGAGTGAGACAAAGTCTCACTATGTAGCTAAGGCTGGCTTCAAATTTCTGATCCTCCTGCCTCAGCCTCCTGAGTGCTGTGTGATTAGAGGTGTGTGCCGTCATGACCAGCTTGAAGAGTTTATTTCTACTTTGTTTTACATTTTTCTTTATCTGCTTTGTGCATAGGGGAATATATGTGTGTGTACAACACGCTCAGAGCACGTGTGAAGGTCAGAAGACAACCTGTAGAGGTTGGTTCTCTCTTCCCACCATGTGGGGCCAGGATGTGGAAACTCAAGTTGTACATCTTGGCTGCAGGCTCCTTTATGCCTGAGCCATTCTGCCAGTCCCAAGGGAGGAGTTTAACCAACCTAAATACTATTTTCAAAATTTTCTCCCTGAAGACTGGCTCCTTGGTGTGCTGTTGATGCTGGAGGCCCTTGGAAAGCCAATTATTCCCTAAGATCCTCAGAGGTTCACAGAATTCTGACCTCTTTTATATAATCTCAGAGCCACAGGGACGTCATTGCTCCCAAGAGAGACTCCAGGATGTAGAAACAGGGAGGCTAACCTGGAATGAGAATCCACCAAGCTTCCTGCATTATGTGGTGTGCACGCAGACACCAGTGAATGGTGGCTTCTTTCTTCTCCCTTCTTTTGCCTAAAGAGAATTGGCTTGCAGCCTCTTTGGTTGCAGATGTGCCTACCTGGGATGAGAATTGTGTGCATAGGCATCACTTCCACTCCGTGAACTGGGTATCCAAAGGGGAGGTTGGGTGGAGCCAGCAGGGGCGGTGGACGGGGCAGCCCTTCCCTACAGGAGAAAGCAAGCATGAGAGTCAGTGTACAGCAAAAACATTTCAAAAATCACCATCATCAACAACAACAAGCCACACTTGGGAGGCAGAGGTGAGCAGATCTCTGTGAGATTGAGGCCAGTCTGGTCTCCACAATGAGTTCCAGGCCAGTTGTGGCTACAGGGAGATGGGAGATGGTGTCTTAAAAAGACCAAAACAAAACAAAACAAAACAACAACAACAACAACAACAACAGCAAAACAAAATGGGAGGGAGCTGGGGAGACGGCTCAGGGATTAAGAGCACTGACTGCTCTTGCAGAGGACCCGGGTTCGAGTCCCAGCACCTACATGGTACCTAACAACCATCTGTAACTCCAGTTCCAGGGAATCCAATGCCCTCTTCTGACCTCACCAGCCTTGCACGACACGGGTGCACTTACACACATGCAGGTAATACACTCATACACATACAAAAAATACCCCCCCAAAAAAAACCCCAACAAGAACAAGTGAAATTATTGAACTACAGGGGCTAACCCGCCTGCAGTAGCTAAAACCCAGTCACGGCTGAACTTCCTGCAGGAGTGCCAGTGATTGATAATCGGTGCACAGTCATTATCAACTGGGAGAAAGAGGTGGACTCCTTAAGGCAAGGGCAGTCCCTTAGCACCCAACTAAACAGAAACTATACCGAAGGGACAGGTTATTCTATCATTATTTTTAGCACAAATCCAGTGATTGCTTTCATACTTTGCTAACCTTTAGTCAAGGGCAAGCATATTCCAATCCAGGAGACTGATTTTTTTTGAGGGACTAAGGTAATGTTGTTGAAATGCAGTGAACTCAAGGCCAGTCTGCACTATATACTATATAGGGAGACCTTGTCACCCAAAATGTAAACAAATGAAAAAACAAAAATATCTACACCAATTATTTTAGTTTAGTTTAGAGACAGAGTCTCACCTATCCCAGGCTATCCTCAAGCACACTATATAGCCACAGATGATCTTAAACTGCGGATTACAGGAGTGTGTAACCACACCCAAAGCCACTCCATGTATAAAGACACAATTGGTAGTACACTGGCCAAACTTTTGCATCTTGCTTTTTTTACTTAATAAATAGTATAGGTTTTCCCACATCACTGTATCTAGAGCTATCTGGGGCTGTCTCCATCACTCTGTCCACATGCTTATACTTGTGTTGGTTTTCATGCAGCAAACATAGGCAACAGTTACACGCTGGCTTGAATTTGTCACTAGCGGGACACTGATATTGGAGAAAACCATTTTTCACTTTGCTCCAGAGGACAGATGCATCCAGTGTCCTGTTCTTCATGATCAAGGATCTGGTTGGCTTTTTTGGTGTCTGCTGTTTCACATTTTCCTCCATGTGCAGGGGGAGTCAGTGATGAGATATCTTACTGGAGTCATGTTTTGCCAAGAACCACCACCACCATCTTTATTACTCTGGTGTCTAAGGCATCCTGGTTCCCCAGTTATTTCCTTTCCCGTACTTGCCAAGTCCTTTTGCACCTGTGCCTGGTGATGGGTCCTCATCCTCCTTGGGGTTGGTCACCTGGGTGGTAGAGGCCAGACCATCCATGGGTGTGCAGTGCAGTGGCTGCCTACAGGTCTGACCCCCAGCAAGCCAGGAGTGGGGAGGGGGTGGTGTGTGGTGCAGGGGGGTGAGGTGGTCCCAGCTGCTGCCTGTGCGCACACACCCTGCTGTGTTCCAAGAGGGGCAACGATGTACACAAGAGGGGCGGCAGGGCGGCCCCGGCTCCCATCACTGCTGCTGGGTTCGAGCAGTCATAGTCTCCTCATCATGAACCCCAGATCTGCATCAGGGAGAGCCGCCCATGGGGAGATGGAGTGGGAGGTCCAGTGCATGGGAAGTGGGAGCTGGCAGGTTTTCTTTTTCCTGGTTACAAATCTGGCTGACTTCCCCGGTATCCTGTCTCCACACACACTCCAACCCATGGCCAGGTCCCCCCTCTTTTTTTTAAAGCAGAAAAAGGGTTATGGGGCTGGAGAGATGGCTCAGCGGTTAAGAACACTGGCTGTTCTTGCAGAAAACTTGGGTTCGAATCCCAGCACATACATGGCAGCTAACAACTGTCCATAACTCCAGTTCCAGGGGATTGGACAGCCTCTTCTGTCCTCTGCAGGCATTGTACAACATGGGTGCACTACATGCAGGCACTACATTCATACATGTAAAATAAAAATAATAAATAAAAATTTTAAAAAAAGATTTGGGGAATCTGCTCACTGCCGTTTCTGTGCTGCTGTTTCAATGCTCCCCAAGAGGCAGCCCAGCAGTCTATTTGCTCTCTTATTTTGATATATCACAGTGAAAGATTTATCGTCCTCTTTTTTTTTTTTTTTTAAAAAAAAAAAAAAAAAAAAAAAAAAAAAAAAAAAAAAGGAGATTTATTCAATGCAGCCACATTGGGAAGAGGAAGAAAGAGATCTAGTGGTCCCCTCAAGTCCATTTTTGAGAGTTCTGAAGTAAGGTTAAGATTTACATAGAGGGCCAAAGCTATGTATATCTAAGCAGTCCCCAGTGAAGATGTGGTCCAGCCCACACCACTGAACCATCATTCTCTCTTCCATAAGGTGATCTCACAAGCTGTAAATCTCTCTTTAGGAGAGAAAAGCTCCCCTCTGGCTAGCCCAAGCTTTAGGCTTTCTCTTCTCCCAGCATGAGATCCCTGGGGGGAATTCCAGTTTCTTGGGGTTCATTTTTTGAACAGTCTGATAACCAAAGTGAGGGACATAAGCATCTCTTTAGAACATGTTCAACCCCCCAAGCTGTTACAGTCACCTACTTTTTGTCTCAACACCTCAGTCTTGAGGTGGAGTATGTCTGTGTCTGAAATAAATATCATCAGCAATGCAGTAGAAGCCAAAGTCAGGGCATAGTCAATGTCGGATCACCCTGCATAGGATCCATTTCTCTACAACTTCTTGACTTTTAATTACTTTGGGGATGGCTGGTACAAGCAACTCCATCTTGTTGGTTTGAGACAGGATCTCGTCCTGAAGCCTTAGGATGTCCTTAAACTTATACCATTCTCCTGCTTCAGTTTCCCAAGTGCTGGAATTACAGGCAAGCACTACCATGCTCAGCATGTACCAATTCCCTTCTGATAAAACAGCCAGAGCCAATTTCCTCCCTCTTCAACCAACACTTGGCATCAACCAAGACACATCCCTTGTAACTGAAAAAAAAAAAAAAAAAGAGAGAAAGTGTTGGGGCAGTAACTCAGTTGTACAGAATTTGCCTAGCACATGCGAGGATCTAGGTTTGATCCCCAATACCACAGGTTTAAAAATAAAGATTTTGGAACTGGGGATATGACTCAGTGGCAGAGTTCATGCCTGGTTTATAGGAGGTCTGAGGTTCAATCTCCAACACCGCCAAAAAAATTAAAAGTGATACACTCTGCACATAGCAGCCGATAGACAGTTACGTGCCCAGTATATAAGAACATAGCACAACTTGGTGGAAGCTGAAAAAATCAGCTTCTGTGACGGTCTGGACCTGTGAAAGCTGTGCCACCAACATCACATGTAGTTTTAAACTCTGCTCCTTTTTCTCTTTTGGTTTTATTGAAATGCTTTATGTATACAAAGGTCTGCAAATGTTCCTTAGAGGACACTATTCCCCACTGCCTTTCCCTGTGTATTCCTAACACTCCTCCCAGGGACCTCTCAAGAGAGTGAAGTCCTTTCTTTTTTCCTAAGGGACCCGAGAACCTTCACAGCCTGCATCACCTCCTCTGAAAGTGCTCGAATTCCACCTGTCTCCTGGTCATCACTGCTGGGAGGTCGTTCTTGTTATAGGCATCCTCAAAGTTGTTTCTTCTTTTCTGATTGTTGGAACCACAGTCACACTGATTTTTAGGGAAGAGCCTGAAAATGAGAGGTGAACATGTGGATGGTAGCTGATGGGAAGGGAGAGGATCTTAATCTTAATCCTGTGTGTCACCCACCCTGAAAATCTCTTTTCCCACACTTGACTGTCCTAACTGTCTTGACACCCTGGAACACCCCTCTCCCAGCAATGACCTCTCACAGAGACAGGGCAAGGGAGGGAGGAAAGAGGGAGAGGCTGAAGACTCTCCTCTCTTCCTTTTTCCTCTTTTTTTTTTTTTTTTTTTTTTTTTTTTTTGTCTTTTTGAGACAGGGTCTCCCTGTAGCCCTAGCTGTCCTGGAAGTCACTATGTAGACCAGGCTTTGCCTGCCTTTGCCTCCCTAGTGCTGGGATTAAAGGTGAGTGCCACCACGCCCGGCCTTTCTCCTCTTTTTGAAACAGGATCTTGCTGATGTGGCCCAGGCTGGCCTCAAACTCACTCACCACAATCCCCTGCCTCAGCTTCCTGAGTGCCAGGACTACAGCTGTGCTCGGCCAAGCGGGCATCCCTCTCTACCTAGTGTCTTTAAACCTGAGAGCCACAAGAATTCTGGCAGCCAGTCCCACTAGGGCAGAGGTCAGGAGGCAGCATCTGCCTGTGGTCTCAGTTCCATATGGCCTCTGAGGTTGTAAGAATTCTACTGGATGCTGTAAAGGGCACACTGAGACTCACTTTAGTAATTAGTACCTGCTCAGGGTTGTCTGGAGGGCCTGGAATCCCACCGGAGGAGCAGGGAAGAGACCACAAAAGGACAGAGCACCCAAAATCTCACCAGATGCCAGCATAGCTAAAAAGGTGCCTAAGGTGCTCCTCAGGTAGAAGTTTCAGCACTGGATCACCCAGCTGAGGCTGCGGAGACTCTGGCTTGAAGCTGCCGAAGCTTGCTTGAAGGAACGTGCTTCTGAACATGAACAGAATAATGCCAAGTGCTAAGACTAAGACTGACATCTTGAGGAGCCACAGAAACCTGGAGCTGGCAGGACACACACAAAAAAGCAAAATACATTAGAAGCTTTCATCTCGAGGGGCTGGAAAGATAGCTTAGTCAATAAAGTGTTTGCCTCACAAGCATGAGGACCTGAATCCAAAGAGGATAGAGGAGCCCTTCACAGAATTCTGTGGAGGAATGGCTAAAGCACCACCCACATCGGTCCATCCCCCTCTCGCTGTCTATGACGAAAGAGGAAGCAGCGATTGCTCTCCAGTCCTTCTGGAGAGCATCTCTGACTCGCTGTGATCCTGAGATCCAAGAACTGCGTCAGAGGCAGAAGAAGCTGAGTGAGGACAAGCACATCCGCCAGCGAGTAAAAATGTTCTGGGCCAAGCAAGAGCAGAAAACGAGATGTAAAATGGAGGATGAGGAGGCGCCCGCAGCCACAGTGCCACCTCCGTAACCACTGTCAGTTATCATGTGGAAGGATAATGCTCAAACTCCATTTCTCTATTGTGGTTTCTTTAACAAGAGTTGGTATGGTAGAAGCAGAATCTTTTCCATCCAAGGTAGGATTTGTGGAAGACAAGATTCAGACCGGTTTAGAAAAGTACCAGTCTTTCCTAGCTTTCCACCTGAAATGACTGAAATGAAAATCCAGATATTTCTCCGCCATTCAGGAGCATCCTTCTAAGCCAACTGCTATTAAAATGTCCAGTGATGAGGCTGGAGAGATGCCTCAGCGGTTAAGAGCACTGACTGCTCTTGTAGAGGACTAGGGTTCAATTCCCAACACCCACATGGTGGCTACAAACCATCCTTAACTCCAGTTCCAGGGGAATCTGAAGTCCTCTTCTGACCTGGGCATTGCACGACAGGGATGCACTCACATATATGCAGGCAATATACTCATACACATAAAATAAAAATAATAAATAAAAATTTTAAAAACGTCTGGTGATGACACATCTTCTTGTTACCAGTTTTTCATCTTCAGACTCAAATCTCTGTTTTCTGTTTGTTTTTTTGGTGGCGTTGAGTGAGCAAATGGGGCTTCCCTTCTGCTAGGCAAAGCTCTATGACTGAGTTACATCCACAGGACAACAGACACTGAACCCCAGGCAGTCCTGGAAAAGGATTTCCACTTTCAAAGCCCCACAGTATTAGAGAAGCATCCTTTTAAGAACTCTCCTCTGTTCTGTGACCTGCCTTCACCAGGATTCTCCCATTGCAGAGCTCCCCCCACCCTTAGCGCTTTAGGCTTGGGCTGTTTCGACAAGCTACCACAAGTCTTAGGTAAATAGTAAAGCCTTTATTTTCATGTTAAGAACATGAAAATTTTGGGAAAATAAAACCTATCTGTCCATTGCTTAACAACAAAAAAGCTCAATGTGAGAACTGGGTGTGGTGACATATGGTGACATATACCTTTAATCC